CTTCATGTATAAAAAATGGTTTTTAAGAGTTTTTGTCAAATGCTTTATAATATATTATAGATATAAGTGTCCTACATCGCGTAGACTTGGACCATTTATTATATCTATATATGTTGAAACCTCACTTGTCCCCTTAAGAGCTCTTTTAGAGAGCAAAATGGAGGTTTTACATATTCTCATATGGTATTAGAATCAAGATTTACCACTCTCGACTCGACGCTCTGGGGCAATCTATACTTGTCTAGCCCCATCTTGACATCCTGCAACAATTTGTGTCTGTGTAGCTTCCATCGGAGGGGATGCATTAATTAGACTTGATTAATTTCTTATCCATATACGTTGGAACTTCATTTATCTTCTTAAGACGTTTCTAAAAAGTAATACAGTGATCCGACATATTTTCATAGTAAAACAAATCATTGCTTCTATTTTCAAAAATATATACGTTTTTTCTTATTTCTATTGTATCAATTGATATTATGACGATTAAAAATAAATAAAGTAAATAATTTTATTTAATAGAAAAAAAATCAATAAAAAGGAACATAAAACTTTTAATCAAATATCTTTTATATACTTTAAATAGTTAATACTAATAACAAAAATTGGGACATCAAAGGAATTTGGGTCTAGCGGTATCGTAATATTTGATCTTCTAAAAAAATAGTGTGTGAGTTTATTTATTGCATTTAGTAGTCTTAATTTTATGGACCATGCATGTGTGGAAGATGTGCATGGCATGTATACATCCATGACCATGCATCCGATATATTTTTAATTTAGGTTCTCCCACTAACTAAAAGGAGTTCTAATTTAATGATTAAATATATTAAACAATTATTTGAAGATTTATTTATTGGGATTTCAATAAATCATGAGTATAACGAATGCTTTTTGAATGGGAACTAAACCTTCGTCCAACCATTTCAAAAGTTGATCCTTTTTTTTAATTAGATCGATATAATATAATTAATTTTGTTTTTAATCATATAATTACTTTTCGTAAATATATTAACAGATGAATTATACATTAAAAAAAGACACAGTCCTTCTATTCAATATTAAAAAATTAAATATTTAAATTGTTAATTTTACATTACAGGAATTGATAAGAACTAAAAAATAAATATGGGAACCGGATTCGATTTCGAGATCAATACAGTCAATTATGTCTCTCCTTGAAGCTGGTTCCCAATATGATATTATGGTGCGGGTATAGATCGAAATTCCAAATTTGAAATAAAAAAATGGAAAGTAATCAATGGGTAAATAATAACAAGAATTATAGAAAACCGGGATTAAGAAAGATAAATTTTTTAAATAAAGTTTAAAGCAAACATATCCATTAATTATATCTTGATTCAAAGTAATATCTGAGAGGTATGAGATTTTCTTTAAGACTTTCGGTCTGTAAAAAATGTTTGTAGGTTTTTTTTTTGAAAATTCAAAGAAGTTATCGATATTTTTTTGTGAAGTATAGAGTTTTGAAAAAGTATAGACATAAAGTTAAACCATAATATATGGTTTAATTAACAACTCTTTAATTCAATTGATACTTATTTAGTCACTTATTAAGGGATGAACTATATAAATGTACCATTTGGGTCTTTAAAAATTAGTTGTGTATCCGTGCAATGCGGCGGGAGTCGTGGAATTTTAACAATTTTGAAGTTTCACTGGTTTTATTTGAGAAGATTTAACGATGATATAAGTTACACTTGGTATTTACATATCAATACAATTTGAATAAATAAAAGTTATGGTTCCAATTACAGTCTATTGATGAAAAAATAAACAGTTTAAAATTCAATATATTTAAAATCCAACATATTTAAACGACTCCACAAATGTGTTTGATTTACACCAAGAGCAAAGAATTAAGAGACCGAACGCGAGACCGAGAGTTCTAAAACAATTGAATGAGAGGACTTTTAATAACTCATGGTGAATATCAGTTTGAATCTCACATTAGGAGGTGAGAAGAAGACATAGAGGTATGAGAGAGTGAAACATAAGTGAAAGGTGTCAAAATTATCTTGAGAACATGAAAATAAAATGTAATAATGTGCATTGGTAACTTGTACTATATGTTATTTTAATTGTAGATTAAGAGCTTTTTAAGACTGAATGCATAAAGTAGTAGTACTTAATGCATTATGAGTTATTTTTTAAGACTTTTAAAACTTTGTGCATAAATGTACAGTACTTTGTCATTAAAAGTTGTTTTTAAAACTTTTGATAAATCTGGTTTACAAGGTAGTATAGATAATGCAACTAACCAATACCAAGATATTAAATGCAGTTAACGATAATAATGATAACATTACTTGTTTTTTTTCAAACACTGTTACATTTACCTATTAAAATATATTACTTTATATAATACTGATATCGATTTTTGGGGTTATAATATAAATTAATTCACATATGATATGTTTGCAATAATTAGATGTTATAAAAATTTCCTACAAAATAACTATGCAAACATAAAAGTCAAAATATTCGATTTTAATTCATAAATAAATAAAAATTATATCTTAGATTTTGGGGCTTCGTGAATGATGTTCAAATCTTTGGGTCCTTTAAATGCGAATAATTTGTCCATCAAAGACAAAGGTGTAGATGCAATTAATCATAAATATGATAACATTTAATTTATTGGGATGAAGATAGGGGAGATGGTTTGTCATGTTAATATAAAAATAAGCAATTTAAAAATAATTGATAAATATAAATTCAAAAAATAGAAATATATGGAATTGCAAATATATTTTAGGTTGATGTTTATATGACATATATAAACTTTTTAGATATATTTTATACTGATTATTATTTGGGTAAGATTGTCCATTATTTTATTAATTGAACTATATAAATTATTATATCTAAATTATATTTATATGCTTATAAATGTTTTGTAAATAATTAATTGGTAATATTTTATGTTCATTCAGATGAAAACCCTGATATTTATAATTGTAACGGAGGGGGTTTGAGATGAAAATATAAAAACAATCATGTGTTTTTTATAGAGTAAATTGTGTAAAAGCAATAACTTAACTTGATTTCTATTTTAGATAACGTATTTTCAAAACTTCTATTTTGGTACATAAAATGTAAAGTTTTAAACATTTAAATACCCGTATAATTACCGCTTGAAGCATTAAACGGTTATCATGCTGATGTGGCGAGTGTATACCGATTATCCGGGTACTTAAATGTTTAAAATTTTACATCTTAGATATCAAAATGAAAATTTTGATACACAAATTAAGAATCAAGTTATAATACTTGCTTTTTCATACAAATTTTTTTTTTTTTTTTTGTAATATTTGGGGAACGATAAACAAATCATGGATCCCTTGTGTTCATTGTTAATGTCATGAAAAAAAAAAAAAAAAAGACAGGGGCCTGAGTGCATTGACCATGAATAGATGGTGGACCCTTGTTAATAATAACAAAAATGAAGGGTTTAAGTGCAATTATTTAAAAATTAAATATGGAGATGCGGGGTATCGATCCCCGTACCTCTCGCATGCTAAGCGAGCGCTCTACCATCTGAGCTACATCCCCATCTTGTTTACTTTTAATTTGCCATTTATATAAAGTAGTTAAATCAAACACATTAAAGTACCATTTGATATTTTATTGCTCACAAAATGTCTTTTAATATCCAATGCTCAAATAAGTATAATGTAAATTTTGCCACATTTTTTAACGTTCGAATGTATCCACATAACGCAACTGATGATAGATTTTATCATAATATTATCATGAAAAGAATTTAGATACATTACAAAATAAAAAGTGATGGTTAAACGTAAATTGTTGAAAATCTAGTTAAAATAACTTGAGAAAATATCGAAATGGATGTCAAATTAAAGGGGTGTTTGGAATTGTTTATTTGAAATAACTTATGTTTTTCTACAAAAATCTTTATTAAATTATTATAAATTAAAATGATTTAACTTATTCATAAACTCTTTATTACCGATTTGGCACCGGTATAAGTTGTTTATCCAAACATTCAAAAGTGTTTATTACCTGTATCACACCTGAATAAGTCAATAAGTTGTTTTTATAAGCAATCCCAAACACCCCTAAATATAAATAAATTTTTTAATTCAGATTTATTATAATGTAAAATTTAAAAATATGATTTATTTTAGTTTTAATGATAAAAAACTAAAACATCTAACTTTTCGATTCTTTTGCATTAATAACTCATAGTTAACAGTTAATGTTTATTAATATTGTATAATTGAAATTTAAGAGTTTTAACTAAATGTTTTATAAGATTGCATACATGCATTTGCCTTTCAAATTATGCATGTTATAGTTATAAAAGCCAATATGTTATGCTTTACGTTTTTATCTTAAACGATGAGAAATGGATCTCACGTGACTAATGACAAAATCACATGTTGAAGTAAGAGCAAATCAGTTACTACACTTAAGAAAAATGGTACACGAGAGAGTTGCAATATCACGAGACGTACTGAAGTTCCGGTGTTGCATCATACAAGGTTTACTTAGAAAAGCAACATTCTTTTTCTTATATGCATCACATTCCCACATATTTAAGAATGCATATGCGTGGCAGTCGAATATCTCTTCCCAGAATGCATGCATTTAAAATAAAGGGAGATTGACCAAAATAGTCATTTCCTTCGCACAAATCGGTCTTCTATTAATTTCTCTGTATGATTTACCCAAATATCACTCCTGCAAGTCTCACTTGCGGACCTAACTAAAAGATTTTTTTATCATATTTGACCCAGGTCTATAATTACGACAGCCAGGTCCATAATTTGATTTTTTTTTTTGTCTTTTAGCTAGGTCCGCAAGCGGCAGACATGGGACTTACGGAAGTAGTGATATTGGGTAAATCAAGGAGATGAACGGTTAGGAGACCAATTTATATATAAGAAATGACTATTTTGACCAATTTTACTAAAATAAATATATCTGAAAGCTATTCTCCTAAAATAACCAATCATACAACCACAAACTACCCAACCCAATATAATGATCAAATGAATACTATCCTTTCCATGGGCCACGGATATGCCAATAACAGAATGGCACCTGAAAGATACATTTCATTTCAAACAACAAAATACTCATTGTCTATCGTACAGCAATTAATTACCAAATTAAAAACAGGATTATCAAGTGAAGACTGCCAGAATGGAGTTGGGAGCAGCATTAGAGAGCTGTCACCTTAATATCAGATCCCACCGGTTCCAAGAGGCTGCCTCGACGCATCACCAGAAGCCCACGCTTCATAGTCTTTCACCAACTGCATCCAAATCAAGACTACAAACCTGTAATTTTGCATATACACGAAAGAACACACTCGGTTTTTTTTTTTTTTGCTTTCATTTGCTGCTTAAGCAAGCACGATTATTATATCTTAACTTTTTACTTTTTAGAGGGCAAATGAACGATGATCCTAAGTTATCTGACCAGCAATAGGCTGCATAAAGATATAAATCCATTTGCCAATTTCAGTCAAATGAGCATTTGGTTTGTTGGAATAGTTGAGGGATTTGGATTCCATAGAAGGATTTGGAATTGGAGGGATTTGGAAGGATTTAAAATCTTTGGTGTGTTTGGTTTGTAGGATTTGGAAGGATTTAAAATCTTTGGTGTGTTTGGTTTGTAGGATTTGGAAGGATTTAAAATCTTTGGTGTGTTTGGTTTGTAGGATTTGGAATGGAATTGAATTATTATAAAAATAATTTATAGATAATTATTAAAATAATAAATCACCTTTTTATTAATTGATTATTACAAAACAAATGTGTTTGACATGAGTTAAAAGCATTATTACATACAAATCCTACGAATTCCCGTGGAATGTCAAAATACTATGTTTGTGGGATTTCAAATACTGGAAATCCTTCAAACCAAACATGGGACTGAAATGAAATTCAATTCCAAATCCTTCCAAATCCAATCAATCCAAAATGGACCTAAGGTTTTTTGAATTTCGAATTTCAAGATCACTAGTGTAAAGAATCTGAACACAATGTTATTACCATCTTGAATGAAAAGAGTTAGCAATTTAATGACAATTCCAATACTATTTTATACTGTAAATGCATAAAGAAATTCAAAATAAGCAGTAACAAGAACACAAGTATCACATGCCTGTGCCATGAACCGGGGTAGCATGATCTTCAGGATCTGCTCGAGGACTTGAGTGCCACTTGATTCAATGGTTTGAGCTGGGATTGCTTGGAAAGGAAATGGAATCTCAATGCTAACCTGAACAATTTTTCTAACATTCAATATACAAGTACAGAAGTTCATAATCCATCTCGACTTAAACCAAGTGTTATAGTTCGAGTTTTGAGGTTAAATAAACGATTTAAAACAATATAATTTGTTTGAATTTCTATGTATTAAACTCCTGACAAACTCCATATCAAGTTTGAAGGCATAAATTCAACCTCAAAAGTCAAATATATTTCTCTTTTGAGACGGGGAGTAAATATAACATAAAACATAATGATCACCTCAATAACAGTGTCTGATTTGAGTTCTTGCATGGATGAATTGCTCTGGTTCCTATCACATGATATTCTATTCACCATAGAAGCTGCATGCCCATACCAAACCAGTGTCAATGGACTCCTGAAAAAGCATTATGTAATATAACTTAGAACAAAGTAGCATTAAATCCCCCTCCCCCCTCTCTATATGAGCTATAAACTTCTACATCCAGGTTTTCACCTATTTTTCTTACTGTCATTCTTCTTTGGCTCGGCTTTGCCGTCTTACTAGATGACAGTTGCCTAAACTATTTGTGTCAAGGAACAAATATACCATCCAAGTCAGGTTGCCTTCTAAGCTTATAAGCAGATTGTAGGTGTTGATACTAGTGACTCTAGAATTGCATATAGAAATACAACTTAATTAGGTCTAGGATATCAGCTACGAAAAGAAACCCTTTAACTCCAGATACTAGTATTAGGAAACATCAAGATTCTAAAATCTTGTATCCTGAAATGGTTAAGTTTCTGCAAGCATTATGCTATTAAACAGGGAATTGAGATTATAGTTGAAAAAAATAAAGGCAAGTAACGGGTGTATGAGAACATGCCATCTTTCCAACGGAAGAGGTACAATTTGCACTTTTATGTCAACTTAGACACTTCTATAAATAGTTGCCGTATTTATCTAAGATTTAAATGAATCGTATCAAACTATCAATATTAAAGTTAAGAAAGGAATTTCCATTTGACACACAAATAAATTAATTTGTACTACTTTCTTTGTTGAAAGTGAGGAGCAAAAAGAAAACGACAATGTGATAAACAGTATATTCCCACCATAATGATAAGCAAATAAGAAGATAGAGGGTAACTAATTGCTCACCATCAAATTTATTATTTTGTGCAACCACAATTGGCGACCCCTCAAGCTGCAGTAAGTTAAAAATGTAAAATTAATCACAGTATAACATCCTACAGAGTGGTAGGATGAAGTAGACAATTTGCAGCGACTTGAATACCTTGCAAGACACGAGGTTAATAGAACAGCCATTAGGTTGTTCTTCAACTCGAACCAACAAAACAGGGCAAACCTCAAAAGCAAAGAACTTGAATGTGTATACATAACACCTGAAAGTGTTGTCATCAATCCTCTCAATCCTTTGAGCATCAAGAACAGAGTATTGGCTTGCAGGAAGGCTCATATACTCCACTGTCAACCACAAACAGATGAAACCAAATCAGCTAATTTAGCTTAGAGGCAACTACAAATTCCGTCCCCAAATATCATTGAATTGCTCATCCCCTCCAACCACCCCTCTAGGTCTCTCTGTGTTTATATTCTGGATATCACATGTTACAGAATAGCAATATTGAAAAACTACAAAAGAAAAAAACAAACAACGAAAGGTTTTCCCACTCTAGCTTACATGTTCAAAGTAGATCTATAGTCTTGCATAAGTTCGTTGAATTATAATCAACAACCAGTTGTTTCATGTACTCAGATTATGATAACATAACAAATTTACGATCCCACAACATACAGAAACATAAAAACCTAAATCATGAACTGAGAATTAATGACAATTAACAAATGAAAGGACGTGAATCATATAAGTAAAATGAGCAGCGGGTAAAACATTACGTAGAGGGCGTTCGAGTGGACGAACAGAAATGGATTCCGTTCGGCGAGCAACGAATCGAGCTTTTGGTGCAGAAGACGAATCCGCTGAAACGGAAAGTGAGGGTTTCGGCAGATCATCTGAATTCGACGATGATGTTAACCCAAACAAGGCATTACGGGGACTAACTGAAGCAAAATTTGTAGGGTTTTTTCTGAATTGAGTTGAAATTGAACAAGAAGATGAAGAAAAATAAGAGCTAGAGCTCAATGCCATTGTAGAACAAAATCAAAATTTTCTGTTTATTTGATTTTGTGTTGTCTCATAGGTCATAACCAAATGAGATAACTGTGTGAAGAAGTGAAGTGTACGTGTGACCGAGAGATGTGGTATATGATAAGCCTACGCGGGCGAAGGTCCTATCTGGGTTCATGTTAGCTTAAATCTATATCAGCCTACTAACATGTCCAGCTAACATTATCTAAAAACTTAAATCATGTTAGACCAGGGTTTTTTTTTTATTTTTTACTTTATAGTTAGATTCATAAAATCATAAATTGTACTCTTTTAAACTTTTATTTTGATATTTAAGATGTAAAATTTTAAACATTCAAGAATCTGGATAGCCGGTTAAAACATTAACCGGTTATCTGGTGAGTGATGTGATATACAACTCAATATTATTTGCTGACATGAATATCTTAATCTAAAATTAGTTTTTATGTGTTGTGGTTTATTAGAAGAAATAGTTAATGTTTCAATCAGTTAACCGAATACTTAAATATTTAAAACTTTACATCTTAGGTACCAAAAAATAGAAGTTTTGAAAGGACGTTACCTAAAATAAAAATCAAGTTAAAATATGTTACTTTTTCATGTAATTTACCCTTATTTTTATATCTTCGTAATTTTTTTTACCGTGAAGGTTTGATGTATTTTTATGTTTTTAGTTATTGGTTATAATATTGCATCTTAATGTATCACACAAGTACGCTAATTATAAAATAAAACTTCAAGATAAAAACCTTTAAAAAAATAAAAAATAGCGACACTTGAGCAACCATAAAATTACTTTATCCAAATTATGTGATTAAAGAAGGGTTATAACTTTCTTTTAAAAAAAAAAGACATAACTTTCTATTTTTAATTGGAAAAAAAAAATGAAACGTAGTTAAAATTGGAGCGAAACAAATAATAAACGATCAGTTTACTCTCTTTAATTTAACTTTTGTGTTAATATGTATTTTTTTCATTTGTATTTTCGTGGTTTTTTGGTTTTATCTTTTAGGATTTTTGAAACAATTCGTCTTATATGGGTATAAAATGAGATTTACGAGCTTTATAAGTCTCAATTTGTGGGTTACCAATAACTTACACCCATGGCTTTGAATTGGATTCGACGTTATTAAGCCACGTTGTTGCTTTGGATTTTGCGGTGTTACAAAATGGTATCAGAGCCTAGTGGCGGATCCAAAAACTTAAGTGACTAGGAGTCGTATAAAAAAATTCAAAACTAAATAACTCATTCAAACGAAAACAATAACAATATATGATTTGCGGGTTGAATGGTTCGGATTACCAAATAAGGTAAATTACGATTTCGATTATTTTTTTACCACATCGGTTAACCACATAGCAAAATATACTATTATTTAATTTATATAATTTCATTCTAGATGAATTGGTTTGAACATATATAAAACTAAAAGAACAAGAAATTGAGATAGATTTAACAAAATCATCAACCAACGTCATCATTGTAGCATGATCGCAAGAACTAACGATAACAATATTCGAGAAAAACGCCCGTCAAACAAAAGAGGAGGGGATTTCGTTAAAATGGACTAGACCACTGAAGAAACTGTCGAAAATGATTGGGAGGAACTAAGCATATAAGAGTAAAAAAAAATTACCTACAATGTTTTAAAAAACTTACAGTTGAGGTGGGGCCTTTCCAAAATCCACCTTTATAAATGTAAGTCCACCCTTGTCATAACCGATTCTTATATCATCGGGATGGGAGGCAAACCTCATTACATATGATGAGTCATTGAGGGAGGGGGTGTTTGTAACATTGTAGGCGAATCCCACGTTGCCGATTACACGGAGGAAGAATATAAACAGGCTTAACCAGGACGTCATGAGTTTAATTGGAGCAGTTTTTAACAAACTCATCCTACATAGAAAATAAAATGAAATTTGTAAGCTTCTTATAAGTATTAAGTTGTTGACTACCAATAACTTGTGTAATTGTCTTAAGTTGAATTCGAAAGTACGAGGCAAGCTGTTGCTTTGGGATGTTACCATTTTCACACACCAACCCTTTAATTATACGTAGATTAATTAATTAAAAAATAAGTCAATTTTTCGAGAGCTGTTATCAACTCGATCGGATTGAATTAATGTATTAAATCGGTTAGTTGAATCATTTAGACGATGTTCAAAACCAAATACGATTATATTAACCAAGTTTCATAGATTATTTATTTATTTTACATTAATATATCGGTTGGTCATAAGTGTGATTTGGGAAAAAAAGTTGGGTTCACGTGAGACCAAAGTTTTTTCGTGAGATCTGTAAGAGCAATTTATATTTATTGATCAACTTTATAAGCTAATGATCTAATGGTCCAAAGTTGCATGGTGACAATTTTATTGAGAAGTCTCGTGACGTTTATGAATGTTCAGATTGTAGATCTAATCCAAGGGTTAAAAATTGGTCTTACGAATCTCACGAAAACCCTTGTTCTCACGTGATCCCAATTCTATATAAAAAAAAATACAAGTAAGTGAACTATGCCATCAGGTTTTAATTCGCTAATTGACATTTGACACGACAAAGGGGAAACTATCGGTAGCTGTTCAAGCCTTAATTACAAGGGCCCCGATGGATGGAGTCTTTATCGTTTTAAATTTGTGTTAGTTAAGGGCAGTTTAGGTATTTGATAAAAGATAGATGGAGTGAAAAATGGAGGCGGTTTTCACGGCAGGAAGGGAAAAACACAGGGAGATGTCAACTCTGCAAATGCTCGTCTGAAACTCGCTCTAATTCTCTCTCTCTCTCTCTTGCAAAAACACGCATCTACACACACAACACAAAGGAAATGGGATCGCCGGACGGTGGTTACTCTTCATCCAATGACGGAGCTCAACCGGCGCAGTCTCCACCTCATAAACCGCAACCTCCTCCTCCTTCAGGTATTGTTAATATTATTCGATCTCTTACCCGTTTGATCTACTTTTTTGCCATAAGTTTCCGAAAACTGTATTCTTATTCAGTAAGGGAATTGTAGCCGAATGTATGAATACACACCAAATTTCTAAAGCTTCTCAAATATATACTAGCTGTGTTGTCATTTAATAAGCTGCAATTTGATTTTTGGACGTTTCTTACAAAACTATGATGAAATGTACGTTGATTAGGTTTAAATCACAGTTTTGGTAGATTCGAATGAAGATGCGTCTGGTATGCAATTTGATTCTCGAATTTATACTAGCTGTTTTTGTCATTAATGAGCTGCATTTTGATTTTTGCATTTTCCTTATAGAAACAATCATGACATGTACGTTGACTAGGCTGAAATAAATATGTATAGTTTGTGTGGATTTGAATGAAGATGCGTCTGGTATGTAAGATACTTATTGCAAAAAAACTACTATTGGATTAATCAGTAGAAATAACATCTTTCATTTGTTATTTCTCACTAGTCTTGATCTGGATAACCTTTACATTGTATGCTTTGCTTGAGTTAGCATAATTGAATTTGTATCTAAATACTTTTTGTAAATGCAAGTCATGCAAGAATATAACAGTTAAATACATTGTGCGTTATGCTTGAACAACTGTACAAGTTCCTTCAGCCCCAAAAAGCAAATCCATGGTTCAATTGTGTCCTACAGAATGTTGCGGTTAACAAATTAGAGGAAATTAGTTCTACAACTATAACTTATACAGTTTACATGTTGGTGATTTGTATCACCAATATTATTTAAGTGTAATGGGATTAATTTGTTGACCAATGTAATCTTGATAAATATTGAACAAGTTAGGGTGGTGCAGAATGCACAATTGTTTCAGTTTATTTTGATTTAAAGTATACCGTTATTTAGGGGCTTCGCCCCTAAACGACGGGGGTCCAGGGGCAGCGCCCCTGGCCGGAAAATGTTACCATATGGAAAATGCACGAGAATCCGAATTTGTGATTTTGAACCCGGTTTGGTGGTTCTGAAACTGCCGGTTTGACAGTTTTCAATTTCCTTTTCGTATTGGTCATTTTGATTTCCGAGGGTACAGATACATTCATAACATCGATTCTCTGTTCGTATTACTGAATTTTATCCAATTGAAGTTTCGATTGTACCATCGAAATATTTCAATCTGAAAGTGAATTACGACTTTCAGTAATCCAAGCAATCGAAACACCCAGAAATTCTAACATTACATGGCCAGCTGGTAGCTACAATAAACTTGTACTGAGCTTAACCTTTAGAACAAAATTTGGCAAGTTGAACAACAAAGTACTTGGGATAAAGTCTTCTTCTAGCAAATAGATTTTCATCAGGTATCTTAAAATGGAAAAATCCTTGTATGTGCTATGTCGGGGTTGGATTAGTTTTGCCATATTTATTGAGGAAACCAACCTGGTCAGCTTGACAGGATCACAACTTCGAGAATAAAAAAGATACAAGTCAGGGAGAAGAAAAAACAAGTAGAGTTACAGTCTCACTACCACAAAGAAGACACAGATGAATTGAGCTGGGAAACAAGAACAGAGGTTCAAGTAGAAAAATCTACGAGAACGGGAATATGAGAAATGGGTGTGTGAGGTGTGACAAGTGGAAACAGATCAATGCACCAGTAATACTTTGATATATATCCTCAATCTGGCTCAAAAGTTTATATTACTTGTTTTCTTTATTTGATATGTCCTCAATCTGACTCTAGACTTCGACACACTTTATCAATTCAACGTAATGTGTTGAAGAAGATTGAAATTTGTCCTAATTTTACTTTCCTGTGGTGCAATTTTCCTCTTTCCTTTATTCTTACCATTTGAAGACGAGTATTAACCGTGTTTTCCTGAGATGCTTTAATAATGATTCTATTTTATGTCCAAGACTACACAGAGACTACATATCTGAGGTTTCTTGCATCAAATGCTGAAGCTGGTTCAATTATTGGAAAGGGTGGATCAACAATATCTGATTTCCAATCACGATCTAATGCACGAATTCAGTTGTCACGGAACTATGAGTATTTTCCAGGAACATCTGATAGGATTATTATGGTGTCTGGAACAATTGATGAAGTTCTCGATGCTGTTGAACTTATCCTGACTAAGTTGATGAATGAGGTAATTCTAATAACACAGATTACATTTGGTTATTTACATGACCGCTCTTAAACAGTATTATATATTGTCGATTAGTTCTATGCTGAAGATGGTGAGGAGGTTGAACCAAAATCGAAAGTTAGGCTGATTGTACCTAATGGCTCTTGTGGCGGAATCATTGGAAAGGGGGGATCCATGATAAAGTAAGAATGCTGCTCACTGCATTTCATCTGTTACTTTGATATGCTGCATCTTTGTACTACTATTTTCTAAATACATGACCTTATGGGGAATATTGATCTAAAACCGAATGATGTTTGTACCAATCAATGCAATTATAGGTCGTCCATTAGTGAATTGTGAAACAACCGTCTGAAATGTCTATCAGTTTAAAGCATGCCTTGCTGTTAGCCATCATTGGATTGGGAGGCAGAGGAAATAGGCCGGTCCCTTAGTTTCGTGAGGTGGATGTATAAAATTGTTCAACCTTTTTTATATGCTTATGGCAGATAGACTTACCATGGGCCTGACTATATGTGATTCCAAGTATGTCATTTTTTTTACTGAACATTGATTTCAAGTCAGTTTTGTTTGTCCTAGAAGTAGGGGATGATAATTATCTCTTTCTTGGTGAAACACTAAAATTCTTGCAAAATTTTCATATGCTTTCTTTATATTTAGCATGTAAATACCCTTATCTTCTAAGTTCAATTGGCTAAATAATCTAAGGAACATGACTAGGATTGGAAGGTACTAAATAAGCAAAAAAACAACCACTACCAATTCCTCAGATGATATATTTCTGAGAATTCGAAAACTAAATGACAAAATAAATCCAGTAGTTTTTTATATTTTCATAAAACCATTCATATATCCCATTGTAAGTAAATGATCAGATCCATTGTGGTTTTGAAATTATGTAATAATGGGAACAACCACCCTGGCTATTAATTAACCAAGGCTGTTGTAGAATACAATGAAATCAGGGTTTGCATTTTATTTGCTCAAAGGTGATTATGTGGTAAAATTGAAGTATATAATAATTTATATACAACAAGACATGCACATACTCCTCAGCTTTGGTGATGTTTAAACCCTTGACCTCCAGTGAGGTTGGGCTCTACCGGTAATCCAGGTGCCACTGGGCCCATGACCCTTTTGGTGTGATTAGGTGGTAAAATTGCATACATCATTATGGGCCGTGTATCCAATGTAAACTTAATATCAATACACTGAGCATGATTTTTGCAACACAGATTTGGTTTATGGAAAACTTTGGTAGGTGCTCGTTTGCGGTGTGCTTCATAATCTTTCAGTGCTTATGATTGCTGGATTTTTTTAACTGATATAAGTGTACCCTAGACAATGAAGTTGTTTCTCTCAAGTCTACAACTTGGTATGACGAAAGGATATAGTGATTGTAAATGATGGCTATAATCAGAGATTCCATTTGATAGTGATTGTAAATGTTGACTATAATCAGAGATTTTATTTACAATGTTGCTTAGTGGTGATAATGGTCCAGTTGGCTAAGTGAGATAGTGCTGGTGGGCAATTAAAATTCGAGGGAACTGCTATTCATCCATTTTGAGGCTGAGGGAGACATGCTGACGCCAGTCTAAATTTCCTGTTGGTTGGTTCTTCAATAAGCGGAGAAGTACCAACCACAAGCAAGCTGCCATTTTCGGTCCTCTAGCAGTGATTGTGGCATCTATGCTATCTTATTATATTCCTCAAGTACTTTACCACGTTTTATCTTTTGCCATTGCTTTTAGAAGTCTATAGTAATGAAGGGAGCATGCTTCTTACTGCTCATGTTGCTATAAGTTCAGAAATTTTTTTTTTTACTGCATTGCCTAGGTCCCACATATGAACTTATACATCTTTTACCCTTTTCACTAGTGTGGTTCAAAAATTAGTGCCTTTTGGGTGTACGTATGACTTATTGACATTTTAAAGTTTTTGAAAACTTCTTGTTTTGGTCTTCCCTTTGCAGGTCGTTCATTGAAGATTCTCAAGCTAACATTAAGATATCCCCTCAGGATAACAGCTATATTGGATTGAATGATAGGTTGGTAACAGTAGCTGGCACCTTACAGCAGCAGGTGCAAGCCACTAATCTGATTCTATCAAGATTGTCTGAAGATCTTTACTACATACAGTCTATTGGTCCCCCATTTCCATATGCTGGTAGGCTTTCTTTTACATAAGTCCATCCTCATACTATCCTGATATGCTTGTAAATTGTAACTGTCTTTGTCAATGACAGCCTACACCTTTCCCATAATTATCAGCATTAAAGCACCATAAAATGCCATTTTAACGATTTGGTTTGAATCAGTAATCTGGATGGTATGATTTGTTGGCTCACTGGAAAATACAGTGCTCTTAACTTTTTGGTAAAATGTGGGAATAAATTGTTGCATGAAGGACATGCGTATGAAGATTGAACTAGAGATTGATAGATCATTCTAGTCTCAAGGACGCTCATGATCTGGTTCATGCTTGATTTTCTATAAAAAAATTAACCCGTGTCACTGTTTTGCAGTAGGTGACTCATTCCCTTTTTAGGGAACCCCATATCAAGTCTCCTCTTTCTCACTTATGAAGATTCTCTTTGTAATACAACTTCCAAAATAATACATAAACAGTAGAACAGCACTTAATTAAATCTTAATATCCAAAACCATATTCGTCTGAGAACAACATATTTGGAAACCATATTGCATGCAACTCCAAAAAAGAGTCCAGGACCTAAAAACTAAGGGCAAAAGAGAACCAACAATAAGGGTGCTTTAATCTTGATGCCTTTGGAACTCTAGTGAGCCATGGCTTGATCTCAAGTGCAGAAACATAATATACTATAAATTACAATAGTGAATGGTGAAACCCAACAAGTATGTACAATCTGGCTGAATCAAGTAACAACTGAGGAAAAACAATATGAACAACATGCTGTTTTATAATAGATTAATAGTACCATAGATTCACATTAGTTACATAGATGGAGTCTTATTTCCATTTTTAAGAGGGAAAAGAGAGCTGTGAGCCAGACTTCCCTTCTGCAGCTATTTATTATGCATGTGATTAAGCAAACTACTTTTAGTTATCTCTGTATTATTTTCATTAGATTCCAGTTCAATTCTCTGTGGCTAGAGATCATTGTCTTTTACTCACTGAATTTTATTTCCTCCATGTTATTTATTTGCTTATTCCTTTTTTGCTTGTCTGCTTCTGCAGCACCTTACAGTGTACCAAACTACGGACCAAATGGGGCTGGTAAAAAGTTTCAGAACACTAAGGTTCATTATTTTCTTTGCTATTTAATTCTATTAGATTAATACCCCCCTTGAGCTGCTATTCACTCCTGATTCTTGTGACTGTTATTCACTTCTGATTCTAATGCGCATCTACCTTCTGCCAAATAGCTTTCATTTCTTTTTCTTTGTTCCCCTTTGTGCCTGTTTTTGAAAATTTTGAAGCAGGGTCACAGGCACTCTCTTTGTTGTTGTTGAACTTTATTACTTAGATAAATAGGGTCTGCAGCATGGGAAGCTATATTGTTCCAGTGAAGTTCAATTTACAGGAGCCATCCTCGTGTTTTGCAGGAAGATATCAGTAACTCAGTGACCCTGGGTGTTGCGGATGAGCATATAGGGATTGTTGTTGGCCGTAGTGGTAGAAATATTACGGAAATTAGTCAGGTAAGCAAAGAGGTGCGTCTTTGGCCCAGGTACCCATTCTTTTTCTTATATTTCTCTCTCATTGCAGATTAGTGGAGCTAGGATTAAGATTTCCGAAAGAGGTGATTTCATACCAGGGACCTCTGATAGGTATGTAGCTTTTTGATGCCATTTCCATTCCTAAATCCTAAAATGTTATACATCCTCCTTTCCACAAAATGCAACAATTGAGTCTTGACTTGACAAATAGTTTAAGTTGTTCGAAAACTTATCAAATATCTAAAATACCCTTAAAAAAATGTATATAATAATAGTATTGTTCTATAAAATGCTATGAATGGAAAGTAATTCAATGCTCTGTATGCTTATTTCTCTATCGTGGTGTTACATATGCGTTTCTGTCAAAATCGATAGTTTTTTTCTGCAACAAGCGAAACTGAATGAAGAAAACGTCTGTGGGGAACCAAACCCATTTGACCCTTAAGTCCTTCATTGACACGTTTGAAAAATTGGCCGAAATGATCCGTCTGCTTTCCGGCTACTCCATTAACCAATCACCAGATACAACCTTAACTTTCGGTTTGCCAGGTCAATTATATATTTATTTTTTGACAGGAAAGTAACGATCACTGGATCTCAAAGGGCAATCAATGTAGCAGAGGCCATGATAATGCACAAGGTTGCTTCGGCTTCGTCTCCCCCTCCAGCTTCGACTCCCGAGAGGTGATAACGCATCGTTAATGAGGTTTTCCCTTTCTGTCGTTGTTAGAGAATCAAAATCACAAGTTTTTTACCTGTTGCCAATACTGTTTCTTGTTCGTATGATATTTAAATCGTTACTATTTCTGGCGGTGGTTGCCACCAAAATCACAGAGAAACAGTATAAACAGAACATATCATTTGCCATAATGATTTTTACTATATAGAGGTGTAACCTTTGAGGTAGCAGGATGTTTGACTTCATCAAATACATCGTTAGTATTTTTATTCAAATTCAAACAAATTGACTTCAAGTTTAATATCTTAGCTCTTTCATTAGCCATTCGTCATTTAGTGCACATCAGATGCAGCAATAAAATTTCATAACTTTGTTACCTACACCGAGACTTCGAGGTTAGTCAATTCATAACTTTCACTAAAGTCAAGGCTTTAAACCGTATATCTAGTATTTGTCGTATATATACTTTAAATTTTTATACCTATAGGTCATATAAAGCGTATGCCTAGTATTTATAATATATAAATATTATATACTTATAAAAAAATTACCCATGGACCATATATGTGGTGTTCATGATACACAAGTAACCTTAGGTAATAGGTATCAGTTACATGTACCTAATATAAACGGGTAAATTGACCCGTGGCTAAATGCATGTTTTTCTACCCGTCCCATGGGTACCTGGTACAGATGCTCCTGAACCTAGAAGTCCCTAATTTATATACATGCACACACACATATAGATACATTTAGGTGTGTATATGTACGAGACACAGGTTTTGGCATGCTATTCTGACGAGCATAATGAAAGGGGATTACATAGAGTTAGCTGCAGGGATTTACCGATCTGGTCAAAATGCCTGCTTGAAGATTTCCTAGTTATAGTCGAGTTCACGGATAAAGTCCTGCTTTCATTTCTTAACCATAGTTGGTCATAGGGTCGAGACAATTCAGGTTCAACCTCCATTCACCGAATGTTATTGGGTAAGTACTTGCTTGGTAACAACAAGAGTTATCATCCTTATTTTGATGAGCATCTCTACCGGATATGTTAATCAGGTAATAGTCTTCTCCTTCACTTACCGATTAAAATTCTCAATCCTTGCCATATTTTACCTGGTAAGGTAAATGTTATTAAGGTTGGGTAAAATGCTGGTCAAACTGGAGAATTTTGACTTGTGATGCAATGTCTCACTGGAATAAGGTTAAGGAATTGGATTCATTTTCAACATCCAAAGCCATCAACAGTATTTCCTAACAAGTAATTGAAGCATTGTGCATTAATGATTAGAAACAAAAATAATATGAAAAAAAGGTATTAAGAACGAGATCTAGAAACATCTTTGCTTTTATATCAACATATAACAAAATACAGAACATGAGTAATGGTACATGCATGCAAATTCAACAATGAAATGTTTCGTGAATCTGATGCAGTTTATTATATATATGGTTTACTAATGCCTTTGATTGATTAATATGCGGAATTAAATTTGTGAATAATAATTTAGTTTATGGTTGATAGCCACCGTAATCACCACCACCGTATCCTGATCCCTCTCCGTATCCAGACCCACTCCCATATCCTGAACCTTTCCCATTACTCCCACCACCGCCTCCGCCGCCACCTCCTCCCCCGCCTCCACCACCACCTCCTCCACTTTTCCTACCACCACTTCCATATCCAGAGCCACTACCACTGCCATATCCTGAACCACTTCCTGAACCATTCCCTCCGCCGCCTCCACCGCCTCCGCCACTTCCACCGCCGCCGCCACCGCCCTTTCCTCCACCTGAACCATATCCTGAACCACTTCCAGACCCATAGCCTGAGCCTGATCCACTACCCTTCCCTGACCCTCCACCACCTCCTCCGCCACCACCTCCACCACCACCTCCACCGCCACCTCCTCCCTTACCCCCACTACCACTTCCATATCCAGAGCCACTCCCTGACCCATAGCCTGACCCAGAACCCTGGCCAGACTCATCAATACCAGAACCACCACCTCCTCCTCCTCCTTGACCACCACCACCTCCTCCTCCTTCACCATATATCTTCTTAGAAGATCTAGCAGCAAAAGAAAGGTCGACGATAAACAACACCAAGAATGCAACAGCTATAATCTTTGAGTTGGCCATCTTCAACTCCCTAAGAACCAGAATTCGTCACTCGTAAATATGTGTATGTTTTAAAGCAAAGCAATGCAATGCAACTTATAACTTAACTTGTGAGCTCAATGTATGTGTTTTGGGACTGATACAATATGTATATATCAGTAACTGATCGAAGTTGTGTGGTGCAAACCAGAGCAAGAATGGTTGCTATTTATAGGCATTGCAAACCTTAAAAGGCATTCAAAGTTGATTTGACTTGGATTTTCTAGTAGCTTCGAGTGTTCGATTTGAGATAGATAGTGGTGGCGGTAGTGGTAGTGGTGGTGGGTGGTGGTGCTCTCTAGCTAGCAGCTAACTCTCTTCTGGCTGTCCATGCAGATTCATCATAAACACTTCACTAAAGTTTTCTTCCACTTTTGACAAAATGGATCTCACCGTCTGTCAACCTGTCCACACTACACGTGTCACTGTACCATCTCTCCCTCCCAAAAGAACATATATATATATATATATGTATAGATTTAGAATCACGTGATATCAACATGTTTTTATGAGATCTTTAAACCATTTTTTATACTTGAAACTTCTAAGTAAAACACTTATGTGTTATTATTGTGAAGGTTTAGATTTTTTTATTTTTACAGTATTTTGCTATGAAGTTTTTAATGTATAAAAGTAGTCACAAATCTCACGAAAACAACCTGATTTTATGTGAACCCAACCTTATATGTACACACACACACATATATATATATATACATATATATATATATATATATATATAGAGAGAGAGAGAGAGAGAATGTTTCAAATGCAACTCATCACATTTGTACAACCAATGTAACCCTATCAATTGAGATATTTATAGAAATGATGAAAGTTCATTTATTATGATTTGAATATTTATGGAAGATGACTATGTTTCATTAATTATGATCAATACTTTATATTAGAAAAAAATCATAACTTTTTTGAAATCAAATATTCATCAAATTAAATTGACGGTTGAGATTGAGTTGTATTGGTTGTACAAATGTAATATGTTGCATAATAACTCTCATATATATAAATACATATATATATATATATATATATATATATATATATATAGGTGGAGGTTCAAACGAGAACCCATGTGATTTACGAGAACGCGAGAACAACCCAATAACCTCAAACTTTTTTAATTAATAAATTAACTTTTATTATATATAAATAATTTAATAAGG